AAAGACAGAATGCCATCACTGTGAGAGACTACACTAGAAACAGTAAAGTGATGAGACTATATAAATTCACGCTACTATGACTATCCACACAGAAACTTGGTAAATGCAATTATGGTTGTTGTTGGTATGTGTTGTTGAACTGGAACCAACTCATAGCTGACTCTCGAATGAGTTTTCAGAGGCTATAAACTGTACGGAGGAGATTGCCAATTGTTCTCCCAAAGAACAGCTGGAGAGTTTGAACTATGTGCCTTTGGGTTGGCAGCGTAGCTCCTTACCACTAGGCCACCAAGGCTATGAAATTACATTCTTTATAGCCATAAAAAAGAATATAACGCAACAATAAAAAGGAACAAACTGCATACATAGAGCTTGGATGAATCTCAAATTATGCCAAGTGAAAAGGACAAAAAGCCAATCCCAAAAAGATTATATGCTTTCATTTATTTAACATTCCTGAAAAGGCAAAAGGATAAAAATGGAGGACAGTAGGGATGAAGATGCGGGAAGGTGTGAGGATTACACAAACCTGTGAAACTGCACTGAATTCTACAAGACACCCCAAACTCACAAAGCCCAATGCCACAGAGTTGATTCCAATTCCTAGATACGCTGGCAGATGGAGAGAGGGTTGCCAAGGCTGTAATCATAGGGAAGAAAGTTCTGGTGGTTTAGTCTGTAGGGAGCTGTGCTATTAACCTAAAGGCTGCATCTTTCTTGTCCAGTCAAATACACTAGTGACTCTGAGAAGAATGATGGGCAATCTCCTGGAAACTTAACAGAGAGTCAACTGGGAGTCAGTTCTGACTCAACAGTAGAGTGAGAGAGGCAGGCTATATCTTTTCTCCTGTGGAATGGCTAGTGGGTTCAAACAGCCGACCTTTTAGGTTGTGTTCCAGCATGCATGCACCATGTCACTAAGGCTCCTTAACACATACAGCGCCACCCCCAACCCAGATACAGACTAAGTAAAGTGATTATGAAAAGTTTTCAATAAACTCCCTAAAAGAAAAAATGGGAAATTAAAGAGAGGGAGGGAAAATGAGAATGGAAAAGTTCTCTATATAGTCTGAACAACATGTAAGACATATTGTTATATGGTAAAACCAAAACCAAGTATAAACCAAGGAAATGTTGGCAACATTCTCACCACTTAATTACAATAATCAAACTAACAAAAACAGAAACCCAGGAAAAATGTACATATTTTATGCTTATCTATAGGGTTTTTCTAAAAGGACACACAAAAAAAGCTAATTCTGCTTACCTCTATCTACGGTGTTTCTGGCGGATGGGATTGGAATGAAAAGATGACTCTTTGTTACATACTGTTTTTGAACTTCTGAATTTTATATAATAGGAATATATTACCTATTTGTAAAATTACTTTTGAATACATGAAAATCAAGGAAAAGCAATGCTGTGTCTTCCCTTCTGTTCTCACCTGTGGTCTGGCCACTGCCTCCTACTAGTACCCTTCCTTTACTGAGCACTTATGAATCTGCCCTTGAGCCTAGTGGATTCTGACGATGAGTGTCCCCTGGTTACCTAACAATGCTACTTTCAAACCCCAAAAAGGCACTGTTTCACAAGGTATTGCTCAGTCTGTAGCAGGTGACTGCAAAAGGATACAGTTTTTTTTTCAACCCAACTGAAAGTTCTAAATTTCAAAAAGGCATGAGAACAAGTGACAACAACTAATTAATGAGCTTATATTGTTATTGTTGGAAGCAGGAGTGGCATCCACTTCCTAAACAACATGTTATTGTGCCACACACTTTATCTTCATTTACTTCTAACTCAAACTTATAGTATATGTGTCTTACTATTTTCATTTTCTAGAGATGTCTGAAGTTCAGATAGGTTAAATGATTTGGTTGGGGTCACATAGCACCTAAGAATTTATACCAAGATCTGTCACTATTAAATACATTTCATATGAATAAATTCTATTGCTTACCTTCATCTTGTATTATTAGCTCAGAATCAGAATTCTGTGTGAGATTCTACATTCTCACTGTAGCCAAGACTACTGCTTTTACAGTTTTAGCAGTAAGTCAGGTTCCGACCATCTATGACCAAAGGACCTGCAATTTCTGCAGTCAGCAAAATACTTTTGTACAAAAATTAAGAGCCCTCCGAAAAAAGAAAATCTAGGTTGAACTTTATCAAAGTCACAAAACAAAGGACAACTGCTGAACAGAAAATCATTTGTTCTGAAAACTTTCACCCAAGTAACTAGAAACTTAAAAAGAAAAGAAAAATTAGGCTGATAGTTTTAGTCACCCCAACTAAGAATTTAATACTTTGTCTCCAGATGAGATGGTACTTACTTTGGTTTCAAAGACTGAAACTCTTTAATAAGGGAAATCAATTCAACCAGAAACTGGAAATTTTATTGCTGCCAATAAACCTCTGGGCCAGTCTGAATGATTCAAGTTCAATTTAGGAATACAGAAAAGTATGCAAACCAAACAAGAGTCAACAAATAGAATACTATACTATGGAAGAGCTCTAGTGGCAGAGTCTGTAGAGTGCCATGCTACTAACTGAAAGGCAAGGTGAATTCACCAGGGCTCCAGCGGGGAAAGACGGGCATGCTTCTCCCGAGAGGATTTACAGCCTTAGGAATCCAATGAAGTACAACACTTTTAAGGTCATCCCTCAGAATATGTTAATCTATGCCTTCTAAAAACTGGCAGAGGTTCTTTTTTACCTCTTCAAAGAAGAGTCTTAGCTTAAGAATGCAGATAAAAAGTCATGCTACAGGGTGCAAACAGGTGGGATTCTAAGGGATTCATCACTGATGATCAATTCTTATGGTAACTGTGAATACCAGATGTCACTATGAGTTGGAATCTACAAGGACAAGGAGCTTCTTTTTTTGGTCTTGTCACAACTACTATCAATTAGAAGGCGGAAAGGTTAAAGACAATAGACAGAAACCAACCTGCAGAACACCACATATGACTATCTTTTGAACTAGAGTAGAGACCATATTCTTGAAATTTTGTCTTTGATGAGATGAGAGCCTAAAGATTTGTTGATTAGTATATGGGTCACTAGTACAAACAATAATTCCTGTGATATATCTTCATGCAACATAATAAAAATTACTGAGAAGGATGAGTACATAGAAATGTATTATAGGTAAAATAAGTAAACAAAATAGCGTATTAAATACCACAAATATCAGAAGTTATTTTGTTATTTTACATTATAAATTACACATCCAAAATTAACTGGTTAATGAACTCTAAGCATGTTTAAACATTCAGAATTTTAAGGGAAGAAAAAAGTACAGATGGTTGTCAGGATTTCCTATTATTTCAAATTCTTGAACTCAAAGTAATACTATTCAAACGCTAGTTAATATTGGCTGTATTCACTCAATTCAGTGGAAGTCATAAAAACTAAGGAATTCTTGGTCTGCAGCCTGAAAGAGAACATTTCAAAATATTTAAGCTCTGTGCACAAGCTTACCACTTGAATTGGATTATTAGATGGAAATAGTGTTTGAAAAAGAAGGCTCTTCTCTATCTTCTCTCATTCTAGAAGATGACTCTTTATAGAATGAAAAAAGGAGAATAATTCTAGGTTTCAATAGTCACAGTATTTGGGCTTTAGCTCTGTATGTTTAAGATTCTACCTCCTATCACCAAGAGAAATCCCATGAAGTAGAAGGCCATCTTTCCAATAATGGGCAATTTGGCAAGAACCTGAAAACTTGGCAGGCTTCAAGGTTACAATGGCAGGGGGCTCTTCCCTAGAATCTTGATTAAAAAAATTTAACAATCCAAGTTCAGCAATAGGCCATGAGCTCCTGACTTCTATGGAGTATACCAGTGTGTCCACCAGGATTTTAAAGTCAGATCAGGTAAAAATGAAACCATAACATAAAAGGAACAAGTGAAAAGAATAAAGAAGAAATGGAGAGTAGAGAGAAGAGGAGGAAAAAAGAAAACAAACATAAACCCACTTAATGTCACAGAACAAATATGCTCCAAACTGGGGAGCTAGCAAATATTTGAAATCAGACTACCAGTCTTCAAGACACAAAAGGAGCAAGCAATCAGCTATAAAACAAAGGTTAAGTGTTTGAACATCACTGAACCTTGTGAACATGTGCCTGCTAGGGACCCATCTACACTCAACAGCTTAGGATGCTGAGCTAGCATGTTATTAGGGCATATCACATGTAAAAAGCAATAAAAATTAAATTCAGAAAACAAAACCAGAGAAAGGGGCCCGTGCTGCATAGCCCATGAATCTTGTCGGCTTTATCATGAAAGTTTATTGTTTTCAATCCTAGTACAATCAGCTACCAATTACATACAGTAAAAAACAAAAACAGCCACAAAGCAATGATGATAGAGATAGGTGTACAGTGAAGGAAATATTCTGTCGGAATCCTCCAGCGGACCCACCTGGCTTCAGCAGTTAAGATATAATTCCCTCCCTCCCCAAAATAGTTAAAAAGAAAAATTAATGTCTTGCTTGTGTACAGCAAGATTCTAATACCTCTTGGGGACACTGTAGAACTTTAAAAAACTAAAGCAGTAGAGTACAAAACAAAACATTGAAACATGGAAGCAAGGTGACACACAACGAAGCTTCATGAGGCCTTGGCTTCAGATCACCTCAAAGCGAACCACCTGTGAAGAAAAGAAAAGGCTGTTAAACTAGGGAAAAGCAGGCAAAAATCTCAAATCCCTTCACCCTTCCCCAAATCTATAGGAGGCAAGCTATTCTCAGCTCTCATACTTCTCTAAGTGGGCCAGGCTGCAGAAAAATTACTTCCCTTATCATCAAAGTTGGCAACTAATAAGTACATACTTACTCTTTAACAACCAGAAAATACTACAAGGAAGAGAAGCACTTTTAAAAAAGCATGCTGTCTTCTTTGTCTCCTACTTCCCAAACAAACCACACAATAGGCTATTTAATATGACTGTGCACCTTACCTTAGAGGAACAATGACTCCATTCAAAAACTAAGTCTCATATATATTTGGTTCGATTGAGGGCTTTTTCAGCCAGGTGACCACTTTCATCTGTGATCTTCTCCCAATCAGTCTGTCCGACCACAAAACCTATGGCCCTTTTCCTATCTGCGTCCTTCTTTTCTTCCAGGTCTGCCCATCTTACCTAAAAAGAACATAGCATTAATCTGGGCTTTAGGAAAAATACACATACAAAGGAACTTCCTATTCTCTTAACAGGGTACCCTAAGAATAGAAAAATCAATTTGAAACCAGGAATGTAAACAATTCAAAATGAAACTGGAGGAACTGGAAGAGGTCACGTATCTGAAGCCATACGTTAATCACAAGGCCCTATACATTCCTCCTCAGAAGCAGTTCCGCTCTCAGCTCCCTCAGTCTTGTCCTTTCCATCTCCGGGACCACGTCGGATTAGTTCACTGACTTAATTTCTCAACTGAAAAAGCACTAACATTCACCTACCTGTCCATCTCCATTCTTTTTTTTTTTTTCTGGTTCTCTACTTTTCCATCTCCATTCTTAACCTCTTCCAATTATTATTCTGTCAAAGTGATTTCCTGGATTACACACAACTCAAACCTGTTTTAAATCTTTCCCCTACATCATTTTGACAAGCAATCCAAACTCTTTCTGCTGTTGAGGGGACACTGGGCATTTCGCATCGCTGTAACTTGAGCACAGAGCGTCTTGTCCATCTGTGAGAGTCTGGTCATCCCTCTCTCTTCTTTCCCCTCTTTCCTTTTGCCAATCAAGGAATCATTCCTTCTCAAGAGTTACTTCTCAATTTTCATATGTCCACTTCTGATTGTCCACACTGTATGTGTAATTATCCAGGTATAGATCTGTCTTCCCTGATGGCATATGAACATCCTAAATCAAGGATTGAGTTTTAGTTATCTCCAATAAATACTTCCTGAAATTCAATCTTAAGAGAGAAAATAGGGAGCTGGTATGACTTTCATTTATGAGACAGAGATGAAATGACTGATCCAGTAACTGGTATTATGTATGAAAACACAAACTACAAATATATAGAGCAGGGATTTTTCCTATTGGGGCTTTGGCTTAAAAAAAAATTCTATATATCTATATAGATATATATAGATATCTCCTTATATATTATAAAAACATGTAACATTTAAATAAATGTAATAACATTCAACAAATATATATATATATATATATATATATCTCCCAATGCAGCAGTCACTGTGTCAATCCACCTCAATTAGGGTCTTCCTCTCCTTAAGCTGACCCTCCACCCTTCCCAGAATCATGTTATTCTCAAAGGAACAGCCCCTCCTAGCAGCATGCCCAAAGTATGTGAGGGGAAGCCTCATTATTCTTGCCTCCAAAGAGCACTCCAGCTGCACCCTCTTCAAGGCATATCTGTTCATTCTCTTGGCCATCCATGGGATGTTCAGTGCTCTTCAACACCACAGCCCAAAGACGTCAATTCTTTTTCTGTCATCGTTATTCACTGTCCAACTCTCAGAAGCACAGCAAGTAAAAGGAAAGATCATGGACTGACATCATTACTCCTCAGTAATTTGGAGAGGTCCCTAACTGTAATTTTCACAGTGCAATGCATCTCCTTATTTCCTGACTGCTGGTACCAAGGATGCTAATTGTGGACCTAAACAAGATGAAATTTTTGACAGTTTCAATCTCTTCATCCATCATGACACTGTTTACTGGTCCACTGGTAAGAACATTTGTTTCCTTGATATTAAGATGCAATCCATACTGAAGGCTACATTCCTCCATCTTCTACAAGTGCTTCAAATACTCCTCACTTTCAACAAGCAAGGTTGTGTCATCTGCATAACGCAAGTTATTAATGAGTCTCCCTCCAATACTGATGTCACACTCCTCTTCATCGAGTCCATCTTCTCAGATAATTTGCTCAGCATACTGAGGTATGTAGAGAGAATACAACCCTGATACACTCCCTTCTCAGTTTTAAACCATGCAGTGTTCCCCTGCTGTGTTCACACAATAGCGTCCTGGCCCAGATATAAGTTCCGCATGAGCACAATTAAGTGCTCTGGGACTCCTATTCTTCTTAATGTCAGTCACAACTTGTCAGGATACACAGAGTCAAATGCCTTTGCATAGTCAATAAAGCACAAACAGACATTCTTCTTCTGGTATTCTTTATTTTCAGCCAGGATCCATCTGACATCAGCAATGATATCCCTGTTGTTACGGCCTCTTCTAAAATCTGGCCAATGAATTGTAATACAGAGAGACATACAAATATACAAATAGATTTGGAAATTACATAAGCTTGAATGCTACATAAAAGACTCTGGAAATTGCCTGTAGTGTACATTATCAACACCTGTAGATACAGTATTATAAATAAGACTTGTGATTATTACATATGACAAATGAAAGTGAGTACAGAAAACCATGCTTTTTCCCTAGACCTGTTATTGCTCTCTGAGGTACTCTGACCTTCCTCATTATCATCTGCAAGACTGGTAATGAAATCCTAGGATTCTAGGACTCTAGTCATACCAATCCAAACAGAAAAGCTAACTACAGAAGTACTAACAAAAGCAAAATTATCAGTACCATTTACCTCTTCTTAAAGATTTTAGTGTGTAGAGAACTTCTAGGTTTGTTTAAGGGCCTTCATTAAAAGTTTGATAATAAACTTTTATACTCAAAGACCTCCATGCCCTCTGCTCATTAATGTTATTGTGCTGATTCTAATTGATTCACACATACTCCTTCAGTTCCCCTGGGATCCAGGGCTTACTACATTTTAGAGAGAGAGAATTACAGTGAAAAGACAGTTGAATGATGGATGTACAAACTGTGGCCAGTAAACAAGGAAAGATGGCCAATGCACAGTGGATTAAAATCCATGGTCATCCTCAGCAAAGAGTTAAATATATTTATCAACAGCACCCTGAAAGAATTAAGCCTCAATTTAAATACTGTTTTTAAAATTCAGATAAAGTAAAAGGCACTTGGTTGGCTACAGGGAAATGTCAGCAGTTTCATGAAAGAAAGATGCAGCAGTTTGCATTAGTAAAGATTTGTTGTTGTCATCGAGTCGCCTGCGATTCCTAGAGACCCTGTGTACAACAACAGCCCTAACCCTTGCTCTATCCTGTGCCAATCTTATTGTCTCTGACAGACATACCATTACCCCACACTGAATCAATTCATCTTATCGAGGGTCTTCCTCTCCTGTGCTGTCCCTCCATCCTCCCAAGCATGACATCCCTTTCCAAGGACTAGTCCCTCCTTGCAACATGTCCAAAATATGTCAGATGAAGCTTCAGGATCCTTGCCTCCAAGGAGCAACCTGGTCTCATGCTCTCCAGGACGAACCTGTTCATTCTTTTAGCACTCCATGGTATATTCAACACTCTTCTCCAACACCACAGCTCAAAGGCATCAATTCTCTTTCTGTTACTGTCCAGCTATCTGATGAATATAGCAAGTGACTGCAAAGACATGGCCAGTATCAGGTACACCTTAGTCTCCAGACTGACATTGTTGCTCTTCAGTACTTTGGAGAGGTCTCTGACAGCAGACTTTTCTAATGTAATACGTCTTTTCAGTTGCTGGCTGCTAGTGCCAAGAGTATTGATTGTGGAGACAAGCACACTAAAACTATTTACAATCTCAATCTCTTCATCATCCATTACCATGCTGCCAAATGGCCCCATGGTGAGAATCTTTGTTTTCTTGATACTGAGTCTCAATCCAAATTGAAGGCTGCAGTTCTTGACCTTCTGCACCAAACGCTTCAGGTCCTCCTCAGTTTCAGCAAGCAGGGTTGTGTCATCCACATAACACAGGTTGTTGATAGATCTTCCACCAATCCTGGTGCCACACCTCTCCTCATAGAGCCCAGCCTCCTGGATAATCTGTTCTGTATATAGATTGAAAAAGGTATAGAGATAGGACACATTCCTGGCATACACCCTTCCCAATTTTTGAACCATGCAGTGTTCTCTTGCTCAGTTCTGATAACTGCCTCCTGGTCCAAGTATAGGTTTCACATATAGAGCCTTGAAAACTGGCTGAGGCAATTCTACTCTGCCACAGAGGGCTACTATGCATAAGAGTTCAACTCAATAGCATTTTTTTTTCTTTAAAGTGAAAATATAAATAAGTAAAATATACCTTACCAAAAATATAAAATAAATCTTATATTATCACTTATATACCATATATACTTATATATCACTTAGGTAAAAATTCTAGTATGACTAAATCAATCAAACTACCTTGTTATAAAAATAAATGTTAATAATTAATGAGGATAAAATCAATGAACGGGATTTTCTAAAAATCAAATCCCTGTGTGTATCAAAAAGCTTTCTCAACAGGGTGAAAAGAAAGTCCACAGGCTGGGAAACAATATTTGACAATGAAATCTCAGACAAGGGACTCATAACTAAAATCTACAGAGTACTACACTGCCTCCTCCCAAGTATTTTACTCTGAAAACTTGCTGGAGGGTTGGCTATGGGTCGGATCTGACTTGATATTGTATAACAACAACAGTGCCTCCACAAGACAAAGACTGATAACCCAAATAGAAAATGGGCAAAAGCCCCTTCACCAAGGAAGATACTTGGCTCAACAAACACATGAGTAAATGTTCAAAATCACTAGCAATCAGAGGGACGCAAATCAAAACAATGAGATATCATATTACCCCAAGAGCAAAAGCAGATTTTTTAACAGGGACATCAAGCAATAAATGTTGGTGAGATTGTGGTACTCTCATGCCCTGTTAATGGGACTGTAAAACAGTACAACCACTATGGAAAGTAGTCTGATGTTCTTCAAAAAGGTCAATAAAATAAATCCTAAAAGATCCAGCCATTCCTCTAGTAGGAATAAACCCCAAGGAAATCTCAGCCAAGGCACAAATGAAAAAATGTACACTTACGCAGCATTATTTACAGAAAATGGAAACAAAAGGATAAGTAGTGTCTAAAAGGGAAAGAGGGCAATAAAAGCCAGGGGGAAATCACTAGGATAGTGGTGGGCAAATGCAGGGGTGGAGTGGGGTGGGGAGATTTGGTGAAAGAATAGGAAAGATCCAATGGAGACTTGAAAAGATGGGGTAATAACAGGCATAGCTGTTATTGACAGGTGCTATCAAATCGA